ATCTTTCTGGGAGTAGAAAGCCTCCTTTTTCTCTCTCGAAATGCCTGGTGGTTTTGGACTGCTGACTTTCCGTTTAGGAGGGAATATTGCATTTGCTTGTATGCCGGAGACAACTAAAACAGAATGCTTACTTCACTGACATGTATTCATAGACTTCAGAGGGAGGTGGAACTGGCATGCTAGATTGTCCTAATCACATTATCTCAAGTCAGTGTAGAAATGATTCTCCAGTTACCAGATACAATACAATGGAAAAAAATATAATCCCAAAGATGAGGAAACATATTAATAGAAGCAAGTACTCGGTGCCATAATTTTCATATCATATATGCAAATATCAGGGTTTTTCCATGTTTTGGAACTCATCTCATGTACCCATAACCTGCTCCTCTCTGAGCCATAATTTTGCTGAATATAATGTTTGTTAGGAAATAATCTGTATCATGTTTAGAGATTGTATTTTTAGACTTTTGGAATACATTCTTATAAAAAAATCAGCATAAATGGTAGGGAGAAATAACTCAGTTTACAAGCAAGGAAAACTCTGCTCAAAACAGGTGAGTGGCTGCTATGTAAGGATAGCATCCAGGTAGAATCACCCACATGGTGCTCCTGTTGCTAGAAAATAAAGAGGTAAGGAGGTTAATACTGAGAGGCTGGGTGCTAAAATAGAGTCAGTGTACTAAGATCTGGTTCAGACCTTCCCCTGTGATTTTTCACCAACGAAGCAGCTCGAGAAATCACTGGAATGCTCTAAGCTCACTGCATCTGCCTGTGGGCTCCACTAAACCCTTGCCAGGTCCAGCGTCCGACATCCCTTCCTGAACCCAAAATATGAGACCTGTGGTGAGCAGTAATTTTCCCAGACTGCTGTCTAAAAGTGGTCATAATCCCAGGCTTGCAGAGAGCCTCTGAGAGCTAGCCACAAGACCTCACACTGGAGTTCCCTAACGCTATCCTCCCTGCTCCTGCAGTCCAGGAATGAGTGACTACATTGGCCACCCCTTTCCCTCTCCCCCCAGCTCCATGCCTGCCAGCATGGGTAATGATGGATAATTAGATAATAATTTGCAGCAGTTGAAGAGCCACTGGGATATTTACCTGTGACAGAACAGAGTTCCCCAGAGCACACTGGCTGGCTGTGCAGGATAGTGATGGGAGTGACACAGGAGTAAAGGCAAGGGAGAATGAGTCAAAGTCAGCCCCAAATCCACTCTATTAACCTGGTCCCCTTACCTGGGGGACAGCACAGCACAACCCATACCAGGGCACCCCACAAACCCATTATTAAAAGGGGGAAAATTTTAAAACAAACAAACAAAATGCTCTCAATTCTAAGCTGTGGTCCTTTGTATAACTTTGAATGTAAGCAGCCAGGACCCTGTCCTACCCTTTAGTATAACATTAACAGAACAACTCTAATCCCAGAGCACAGCCTAGGACTTTAACATAACAAAGTGGGAAAAGCAAACAGGTTCTGATAACAGCCCAAGCCGAAAACCAGTTCTGGGCTCCACAGAGAGTCTTTAAAAGGCTTCAGATTGTGGTCAGACAGTCCAGACCAGGCCCTTTCCCTTGCTTCAGTTCCACCCCAAACTGGCCAGTGGCAGAACTACAGTTGCCCGCCTCAGTCCAGACTCTCAGACGTCCCACCAGCGATAGCCACTAAGTCACTGCAGAACCTGGCCTACACAGAAGTCCCACTAACCACCATAGTAGGCCATAGGTAGTCCTCAAAAATACTCTTTCAAGTCATACAGAGAAAGTGCTCAGGGGCCCTTGGTCGCCAGAGACATGGTGCCCAGTTCCAAAATGACATGAAAACAGCAACATACTTCAACACCCTCAAGAATAAAACGAGAAAAACACAAAATTCAACAGCGGTGGAAGTTGTAAACCTAACAAAACTCATAGAAGAAACAGACGCTGTTTTGTGTGCCACACACACACACACACAAATCATCAGAATGATGGGTGGAGTAATGCAGGATAATGAGGGAAGCAACGCAGAATAAAGATGAAATGATAGAGGGGATGAAGTCCATGATAGAGGGCATAAAATCCATGATTCAGGGGATGAAGTCCATGCACCAAAAGGAAATACAAGAACTAATGGATGAAGTAACAGAAGCAAAGCACAAAATCACGGACCTCACCAACAGACTAGAAGAGGGGGAGAACCAAACCAGTGACCTGGAGGACATGTAGGCAGACTTCAACAAATGGGAAAGACATTCAAGCAAGATAACCAAAGAGGTGGAAGAAAACCTGAGGTCAATGACAGATGTTATGAATAGGAACACTATTTGAATAATTGTTCTAGCAGAACAATACACAATGAA